ATGATAGTTTCATATCAAACGAACTGTCACAAGTGAGGCAAAAACCAAATTCATGTAGGCGTAAGCAACTTGTAACTACGCTCGTCGGCACGCACACAAATATACAAATAATGATGCCATGGAATAACATTTCCCTCAAAAGTGGGGAAATTGTATCTTGCTTAACTCATCATTAAGTTAAAGGTGCCTACAGATTTGCCCGACATTGTCGATCAGGTGCCTACAGATGTGCTCGGTTTTGTCGATGAAAAACGAATATAGCACTTATATTTTGTAAATCCATGATGGCGGACACGATTTTTCAAAATATGCTATATGGGTATCCTTTTCGAGGTATTTGGGGATGCTCATTACGAATATGGCACTCATTTCTAAATCCAAGATGGCGGACACGAGTTTTGAAATAAATGCAATATGGGTATCATTTTCGAGGTACTTGGGGATGCTCATGACGAATATGGCACTCATTTCTACATCCAAGATGGCGGGCACGATTTTTCAAAAAAATGCAATATGGGTATCATTTTCGAGGTACTTGGGGGTGCTCATTACGAATATGGCACTCATTTCTAAATAAAAGATGGCGGGCACGATTTTTTCAAAAAAATGCTATGTGGGTATCATTTTCGAGGTATTTGGGGATGCTCAATGTGAATATGGCACTATTTGTAAATCCAAGATGGCGGGCACGATTTTTCAAATAATGGCAAGTTGGGTATCGTTTTCGAGGTATTTGGGGGTGCTCATTACGAATATTGCTTTTGTTTGAACTGTCGTGTTTGCCATCTTGGATTTAGAAATGAGTGCCATATTTGTATTGAACATTCCCAAACATCTCGAAAACGATACCCAACTTGCCATTATTCGAAAAATCGCGCCCGCATCTTGGATTTAGAAATAAGTGCCATATTCGAAACCTAAAACCGAAAATGCCATAAGCAAACATTAAAGAAAATAACTGTTAAAATAGATTAAAAAATCGCTTAAGAATGCTCCCCTTTTAAGAAAATAAAATATTTTAATATAAAATATTTCGCTTGAGTTACGAAAAGAAAGACATATAATAAGCTATCAAAGTTGTACTGGTGGTGCCAACACTATAGTAGAAACAAATATATAAGTACTGTAAATTTGTTGCAATATGTGCTCCAATTCAAATAAAATTAAAATAAATAATTATTCAATAAAGCATGAACGCAGAGCCGTTAAAAGTATTATAAAATAATTAAGTGTCCCAATCACTTACAGGAGTTAACGAAAACATTTAATGTTTATTAAAGTAAATATTAGTTCAAGATGCGCAAATAAATCTAAATTACAGGCACCAATAAAATTTACGTAATATAATTATTTTGACACAGAATAGCAAAATGGGGAGAAAAAAAATTCGTTACTTTGCAACACTTTCGTATCTTGTTGCCGCGAAATTATTTTTCTGTTTTAGTGAATATTTACATAAAAATATGAGTTGAAACGCATTACTTACTTGTGGAATGCGATGTTAGTGTCTATTTTATGTTTGTCTGTTGTATTTTTACACCCATTTACCGCACATTTCGTCATTTTTAGCAAAAAATTTTGGAGCTGTTCGCGGTGCAATATGACCTTGAGCACTAACAGCCCGCGCGCTCCTGGGACGCGTTTGGAACCCTCTAACTTGCCTCACTTAGCGTGTGCGGGCTAGGTTTCTATGCGTTATTATTCTAAGGCTGTATGTATATACTCCAAAAGTACATTTTTCAAAAGCTCAAAAAACACTAAAATCACATAGATAAAAGGAAGTGAAATTGTAAACGACGGTGGAAAATGGCGGGATTTTGTATATATATTTAGATATAATTGTGTCTTTTTAATTTCTAGTTTAAGTATATTATGTTTTGAGTTTCTAAATTATTTACATTATTTATTATCTTTTTAAGCTGATTGCTCTATAGCCAATGCTCAATAAATAAATAAAAATAAACGGCGAGAACCACAAAAAAATGGCAATATTTTAGTTACAATTCCTACACAAATATTTAGTTTAAGTTTAATACGTTATGAATTTCTTAATTTTATTTGTTACCTGTTAAACCGATGGTTCTATTAAAGCCAATGCTCACTAAATACATAATCTCCATCACTCGTACTTCCAACAAAAGTTACCAAAGTGACATCAATGGATGCGCAAATAATAATTACGCTTTCAAGTGGTTTAATTCCGTACTTGTTGACTAGTGCATAGATATTGTTGCTATCGACAGTTTTTTATTCTTTCGCAAAGTGAATAAATTACGAAGAGTGGTTTGAGCACAAACATATTATTATATATGTATAACAACAACACAGATACCTCCATTTATAGGTGTTTTATTTAGGTATTTTTCAATACTGAGTATCGCCACGTTACGATTATGCGATTATTCCCCAAAAGCTTGATTTTAGAATTTGGTTAACATTCCAATATTTCCACACGTGGTGAAAAAAGACCTGTCACTGGGTGGAATAAATATGCGCGGGAAGCTCATGAAGAGGCCCGGATTAAATTTCAAAACTGGTTATTTCACAACAAACCAACTAATGGTACAATGTGGGATGACACGAGTGACAGTAGGAAAAAATTCAAAAGCCAAGAACAGATTAGGATGGATATTGTTGCCACCCGTTGTGAGTCCAAAAACTTTAGCCAATTCTGGAGAGCAACAAATAGGTTAAATGTTAGGCCGGGCACTATGAGCGTGGGTAGTTCTACTGATAGCAGGGAGATCGCAAATCTATTCAAAGATCACTTTAAAGTGTCCTCAACACTGGGCTCGGTGGATCGGATGATCGATGATGCCAGATGGAGAGGGCGATATTTCGAACGTGGGTAATTATAGACCGATATCATTGGCAACGGTGATGGTTAAGGTGTTGGACAGTCTGCTGGACATTAGTTTGGATCAATTTATCAATCTACATGATGCTCAATTTGGGTTTCGGCCTAAATTGTCTACCGAGAGCGACATCTTGTATCTTAAGCAGACTGTGCAATATTTATTATTCTTACAGGGGATCCCAGTACACGCATGCTTCCTAGACCTTTCGAAGGCATTCGATCTTGTGCGTTACGACTTTATCTGGGTAAAATTGAGGGAGCTGGCGTTCCGGAGGCAGCTGGATAGATGAAGTAGCTGTCAACAATTTGAGTTACGTAGACGATATGGTGCTACTGGGTCCTGCGGCGGGCTCTATCAGACATCTACTTGATATTTGCGCAAAGTACTGTGGTGATCATTGCTTGATTTATAACGCGTTCTTCGCGAGTACATGATCTTTGACGCCCGAGGACGTCATATGAAATATGAACCTGTCATCAAATTAAATAATATACCTCTTAGACGAGTGAAACTTTTTAAATATCTATGGCATTAAGTTTCCCAGGACCTCAAAGATCATGCCGACATTGAGCGAGAACGTAGGGCGCTAGCGGCTAGGTGCAATATGCTGGCCCACAGGTTCACGTGTTGTAGTAGCGAGGCCAAGATAACGTTATTTAAAGCTTACTGCCAAACGTTCAACACGGGCGCCCTGTGGACCAGATATTCTAGAAAAATAATGGACACTTTCCGTGTACAGTACAACAACGGCTTCAGTGTGCTTTTGGGGCTGCCGCGTCATTGTAGTGCATCTGGCAGATGCGCGGACTGATGACTTTCATGCCATGATGAGAAAGAAGACAGCATCCATACTGCATAGAACACGCGGCAGTGCCAACAGCATTCTGAAAATATTTATTTGTAAAACAGCGGAACCCATGCTTGAGCATTTTGTTGGCATAGTGGTACAGCAACCCACCCAGTTTTTTAATTAAATTAAAATGTAGACCAAGCGGGAGAGGGGGGCAATTTTTATTTTCTTTTATTTAATTTTAATGTTTAATTTCCATTTAAAATGTTTTCTGTAATTTTACTTAATATTTCCATTTTTAGTTTTTAAAGTTAAATTTTTTCAATTTTAACTTTAAATTTTATAATTTTCATTTTGATTGTATTTTATTTTATTACATTTATAAATATTGAATTGTAAACTAACATAATACCTAAGGTTTCTGTAAAACTGACAAGTGGACCTATGTTGTCTTAAATAAAAAACTATTATTATTATTATCTATTTTTCCGAGGAATATAGTGACATTTCAATGCACAAATAATTTTGTGAACAAAGAAAGACGTCAGCTGAAATATAAATCTGAAAGTGCCTGAAACTAAGTACCTATGTAGGAAGATGCGTGAAAAAAAATTGAGATTGTTACATGTTTTGATGGCGCTGAAAAGGCGCTGAATCGAAATATGAAACTCAAAAAATAGAGCAAAACGTTATTGTCCACATACATAGTCTCATTATTTCGTAGGACCGACGACATTAATGCGGCTTTCCGGATTAGAGATCATTGAATTAGAAAATAATTTAAGATATTTAATACGGTGTATTATCGTAATACAATAAAATTAATTAAAATTTATTACATAGTACATACTATGTAGTACTATTCGTTATTTTTTTATCTCAATCGGCAAAACAGTCGGCGAACCTAATAAGAGCCATCTTTGAAGAATAAATTGGACTAACTTACAACATAGTAGGTGTTGTTAGCACTAAACTGGCGGGCAATATTACATTTTTTAAGTGCCAGTTCTTTATTCGTAGTTTTAATTTTACTAGCAATTTTACCAGAATAAACATTTATCATAAATTGTTTCATGTGTAAATAGAGCAACTGTTTTCAATTATTCATTTTATTACTGTGTAATTTCATGATAAAATTCTACGATAGGTGTGACATCTATCAACGTACTTAGGAAAAATATGCTGCCATCTATACACTCTTATTCTAAACTATTTAGTAGTTCACATTTTTTCCGTGGCGCTCACAACCCAAACAATGAATTCCAACATGGTGGCAATGTGCTACACAGTTTGAAAATGCAGGTCGTGTCATGCTTTGAAAAAAATCATTTTATACGCGAATTTCGTGGAAAATGTCGGACCCTAAACGTGCTACGCTTATAACAGTGGGTGCTTCTAAAAGTGAAAAGAGTAAAGTGCATAAAACAGTGAGATTAACTATAAATTTAGATGAAAGCAACGAAAGTAAATATCCGGAGCTGAATTACAAGGAACTAATCATAGCAGAAGAGGTAAGTTATAACAGAAAATCATAGCAATTTACGCAACCATGCTGGTTTTCCAGCTCTTTGTAGTGTAAGGAATCTGTTAGATTTTGTTTATAGTGTTCAGGTCCACGACTAGCTTTCTATCGCCTGTTTGCAACGAGCCCAGCAGAGATCATTATAAGATTCTTTTTGCTTACGTTACACGGATTTGTATTAGGTCTGTAATGTGAATTTGCGTCCACGGACTGTGCGAGAATCCCAGATATCGGTCGCCATGTTTGCAACAATCTTTGGGATACCGTTGTCAACCTAGGGCATGAAATCCGAGCGCAATGTTTTGGTTGTTGAACCCTCTGATTATTATTGTTTTTGCACTAAAATATATCAATTTATGTATTGAAATGTTGTAAGGAATATCATTGATAATGTATGCTGACGAATGCAATAATCTGTGAATAGGTAATTTGAATTGAAAGTCGATTGTATGACCTAGGTTAACTAACCTACGTAGACTCAACCGTTTCCGGTAAACGTAATTTTTAGGTTACTTTCTAACTCTGAATCTATTCGGTTTTCAATAAATTACCAACATCTGCCTTTAATTTGCGTAGGTATATAAGCGCCATATGTTTATTGTACATAACAAAATAGGTAGATGTTAAACGTGTGCAATGTGCATATAGATTAACTTCGACTATTGTTGCACTGCTCTAACTTGTTTTAGAGGTGATTATTTTGCGATTATGAAAGGATTATTGCTTTATGAATTATTGTATAATGCGTGTTTTTCGGTTAGGTGTTTGTTTGCTAAGTAAACGGGCAGCGATGCCAAAATGCTTTCGCTTGCAACACGCAGCTGTTGGCAGACTTTGCGACCTTTGTTGCTGCAAGCTTTTTTGTATCTGTGCTCTCCTCTTTTATCGATTTCGTCGTGCATAAAAGCACATAACATATATTATATTGAGGTTATATACTTTGCGTACGGGTTATTGCCTTTGTATGTGTGTGTGCGTGACATATAAGTGTTTGTGGACACACTATTCAACATTTATGTATTTTCTTGTCGCGCGACGTAGGCATTTATTGAGTTTGGAGCTGTTTATCTTTTATTTATGCGCTAGGGCCGCGTATTTATAGTTGCAGGTACGAAAAGCCATGTTTGTGAAATGGTTTACCAGTTTGGTTCGCTTTGTCTTGCTGATAGTAAAGACGTAGAACGGTATTATATTATCATTTTATCGGCGAGACGTGAAATAAATATCCATATAGCCAAATGTTTATTGTTGATTAGATATGGTTCATATTCTATTTATTGTAAATGAATAATACAATGTGAGCACTTTTAAAATATGTTAATTGCCAATAAATAATAATATTTTTTTTCCCTCAATAGCCATTATAATTACGAACACTGACTTTATACCTTTTGGACATCTGTCAAGGTCGACTTTGCCTTGGATGACGACCGATAACGGATGACGCGGTCTACTATACCTTGTTTTGTTCAATTCGACATCTGCTGGTAAAGTCGAAAATCGCGCGTGACACGATTATTCGCATGACATTGTCATGGGGAGGGGTGAATGATGAATGGACATTTACGTATCTAGCAATAAAGCGTGCAATTCTCGCTTTTATTGTGGTCAACCGTTGTGTAGAGATTGTAGGTACCTACTTTATAGGAAAAGCTTAGGCTGATTAGGGGGGTAGTTAAATTTTGTCTTTAATTCACTTCTAGGAACACATGTTTTCCGGTCTGAGGGGGTTGGGACCATCGAAACCAAGGAAATCTTTCAATTGTGTTACTCATGGCTCCGAGTTGTAATAAATAACAATGCAGTGTCATAAATGATTTGAATAAGCCACTGTAATAATTATAGTAATATACATAAGTATACACAGAATTCTAGGATTTTGATTATTAACAGAACTGATAATGGCCGGAAGCTATGTCAAAATATTTATGCATGTTTACACTGGAATGGAATCTTTATCTATTAGATAATTAGTTTGATCTGATATTTGTTGTCTACAGCTGATAGAATCTTTTTCTCAATTACAAAGATAAATATTGAGATTCAAAATGATCTCACCTTTTACCATGGCGATAAACAACATGTACTGCTTCATAGTACCTATTTCTCATTATGTTAGGCAGGTAAGTTTTTGCCCTCATCTAATTGTCTACTGAACCTAGGCTAGCACACTTAAATACAAATGTTTCTTTCTTGAAATCGTCAATTTTATTAACACTACTACAGACATTTACAGACGGCAGCACATCAAGCTGTATATCGATGGATTTTATTCTGTTACACTAAAGGCATTATTTTGAGAAAGGTATATGCCTGGATGTGTTGTTTGTTGATTGTACATTGGCCTCAAAAATCTGGAGGAAAAACACTAGGGTTGCTTTATTAAATACACATGTTTTCAAATATAGGTGGAAGCAATATAATAGATCTAAACAAATCAATCTCTTCGACTTGTCGTATTGTTGCTTGTAAAACATCATCATTCAAAAGTAATTTTGAGTAATAAAAAAATTTAAAGGAGATTGGAAGAACTGCCTATGATATTATTGTATACAAGATTTTTTTAAGTTGGTAATATATGTGTTCTATTTCGATACCTTCATGTAAGTTGATGTAAGTCAAAAGTTTTTTTGCTTTTTAATATAAAATATATTAAATAATAAAAAATAATATTTCTTTTTTTTATATAAGTTATAGGTTCCAAGTTTGAAAGTAAACATAACACTAAGTGATTTCTTTCCTTTTAAATATGGAACCTATAACATACACTAAGAAGGATCATATTAAAGTTAAAAAGCAAAAAATGGTATTTTAGCTTACAACAACTTACATGTGAGGTATTGATTTCTGGATACAAAATAATTGTGCTTACGTCTGTTTTTATATTATTTTTGCATTCATTTGATGTTATATGTTGACTTGTGTGACATTCAAAAGTAAAAACTGCCAATTTTGCAACTTGAGCGGTGTTTGCTAATGGTAAAATGCGAAAAGAAAAGCATTTTGTTAATGTATTTCTAATATAGACACATTTACAATGCCCCTTAAATGCAATCCCTTGATGGGCGTACGAAATTCTACACTGGCACCAGCTACAACTAAAGGACATCAAAAGGGTTGGAAGAAAGGAGAATCTTTCAGTTCTTTAAATTGTTGCCCATGACCTCTGCATTGTAATAAATGGTGATCACAATACATCACTTAATAGTCGTAATGAAGGACAGCGTAGGTAGAACCTGAAAGAACCCACTCTAATAATAATGCCCCTTAAATGGATTTATGACTATGCGAGATGATTGTGAAGAACACCTACTTTATTTCTGTATTTCAGATTAATTAAATGTAATTTCTAAATAAAAATTATGTTGAGTGTGTGGGGGTTATTTTAAAAAATAATCCATGCTTGTCATAAAAAAATGGCTATTCTTTTTGGCATAAATTAGGTACATTTTCGTTGACATAGTGTGTGAATGTTAATTTCTTGCAACTGTCACCTGGTTTGGAAATTGCCCTACGAGCACGCTTCCACAGGACATATTGTATTAATGTCAGTGGAATTTCCTCAAAGCTGAAAATAAGTAATCCGAAGATGCCATATGATGATAATTACTATATAGATTAGATACTCAACAATTGTTATTTTATTTCAGAGGAAAAAAATAGTGGAAAATGGCAAAACCAAAGGCCTGGACCCGTTCTCGGACAACGATGATGATGTGGAAAGAGTTGCCAGAAAATTTGAACAAAAATATGTAAGTTATACTTTTATTATTACTATTACATGATATTAAAAATGAATATATAATGATGAATATAATAAAATAATGCATAGTGAATATGCATGAAAATGGATTCATACTATTGTGATATTATCTAAGCCGTGCAGAGTTTTAATTTGAAAGTGAAAGGCACTAGCATGCTCTGTTACTAGATATTGCTTCCAGTCTGTCCACTAATTATTTATGTATTTATTTGACTAAACACAGGCAGCTTTAGTTCATCATGTCGACATCATTCAGTGAAGAAATTTATAATTTTTTAGTTCATATTGTAGCAATGATTCACCCTTTCTTTTTCTGTACAGAAATATTAAATTTTATATTATCTCTTCTCTTTTCTGTAGTTATTATTTATGTAAGTGTATGTGTTTCATAGATCTTTTTTTGATTTATTTAAATAAGTATTTTGTTTATTTTTATTTCTGTAAGTGCAAGAATTTAATGACCATTTTTTTCACTTTCAATTAATTTATTACCTTTAACTCAGAGATTGTCTGGAAGAGATTGCCATTTAGCAACAAGGCCGCCTGTCTTTTTTTTAATGAGACAACATCATATATATTGCTCTGATCCCCCAAAGTAAGTAACTAAAGCGCTTGTGTTATGGAAATTGGACACACCGACAGGACCACAAATACCCAGACCCGAGACAATAATAGAAGGTAGTTTTCTACGTTGACCCGACCGGGGATTGAACCCAAGATCTCATAAATGTCGACATCATGAAAACCGTTGTGTAAACCGCTCGACCCAGGAGGTCATCAAAAGTCTTTTTTGTTTTGTATATGTTCTTGTGTGCAATAGTGTACAAACTTGCATTCTATTTATCTTTTAAGGAAATTGATTAAATTTTGTACTTTTGTAGCATACATGTACATTATGTATACTTGCTTTTGCTCTTTGTGATCCGCCATTCATTATTACCCATCACCTTTCATGATTTGCTGCCTTGTGGCACTTCCTTCCAAGTGGAACCAGCATAGCATCTTATGGTTGCTATCTTTTGGAGGGGATCTCCTATCCTAACGTATCAATTGATACTCATTTTGGCTATATTTGTATTTATTATATTACCTTTATGTTTGCAGGGTGGTAAAAGTACATATGGCAGAAAGGGCAGATCGAAAAGAGATGACTTCGCAGACATTGGAGCGGGCTATGATGAAAATGATTCCTTCATTGATAACACAGATGGAGTATGTTATTTACATATCTTTTTCTTGTAATGTCTGTTCATCTAATGACCGTTGGCCACCTATTATGCCTACTGTGTTCGGTCTCGTTTTTCCACTATTCAGGGTGTCCCATGGCCATGCCACATGGAGGGAAAGTACCTTAAACACCGTAGATAGAAAATTTTACTGGAAGAATATTTCATTTTGATTTAAAAAACAATTCGACTTGCATTCAAAGATTTTTAAATTATCGCCTGTCTGAATCGGGAATCGAACCCGCCAAATGTGAAAAAAAGACACCTGTAATTTTACTATATTGATCGAAAGCCTCGAACATAAGAATTGTTTTCTTTTAAATAACATAGCATCTTAAATAAGTCTTCCTTTTATTTAAGATGCTATGTTATTTAAATATTCCTTTGAAATATTTTTAATTATTTATTATTGTGTAGTGTTACGTCATCTTGTGTGTATGTTAACATATCTGTAGATTATCTGTCGATATCGACGAGGCTGTAAAAATCTATTTCCGAGAGCCATATACTCCTACTAAAAAAGGGGCGTTGGCGGGCCAGATTAAAGCCCTTCCACTGATTTAAACCACCCGCAACGCGGCTCCAATGCGAGTTGGTAACTTGATACGTTTTCCAGGGGTTGTGAACCTTTTTCTACACGCAGGGGTTGCCACGATGCGAGATGTATTCTACTGAACACTTAGGTACAAAACGTAATTCAGAGAATAAAGTCATAAGCACATGCTGCCACAGGAATTCGAATCATAGACTTCTTTATTGAGAAGCAAAAAATCTCCAACTAGATTACCAGCCGCTTCACACAGGAAATTTCAAAAGAATGTTTATAGTTATTATTATATCCTAAAAGATCCTAGAAAGAAAGGCCTAAAAGACTAATTTTAAATTTTTAAATGGGAGAGGCGGTATTCCCCGGCAATGGCACGTGTCTGGGGTCAGGGACTCAGGTTCAAGAACCAATGAACAATACGTGCCGTACCGAGCAGACCCCTTCTGCATTTGTGCTGGAAACGACACGCCACAGAAATCTAACCGCCTCAAGCTGTTAGCACGGCTAACTGGAATTAACCCATTTGAACATATAACATGTCGGTGATCTCGTGTGCCAGGTCGAGATACTTCCGGCGTTATTATTATTGTTATAGTAGATTTGCGGGAATCCATAAAGTCTTATAACTAGATTTCTTTTTTTGATCATTATTTGGGATTGTCGCCAGGGATCAACCACTGATTCGATCGCTAGCATTATCATAAAGAATTCATTCTTCATCACCAGTAATGACGCGGTTTAAAACTTCTTCATCTTTGCGTCGATCAATGCAAGCTGCATCGCGCCAGCACCCACTACCCATGCTCAAAATACCATAGTTTGCGATGTATCGGCTTGAACAATAGCTTACAATTCGTCATCATTCACCTTGAGCTGTGATCGTCCATTTCATTGTTCATTTGCCAGGTTAAAATTTTCGCTATAAAATTGAGCCAACCAAAAACGCATATTGCGAGTCATTTACGCTGCATTGAATTCATAGGAACTCGTATTAAATTATATAAAAAAAAAACCTTCAAAACTTATCAGCTTTCGCTGCGTTAATTGCCGCGGCCTCTTCAACGAGACAATTGAGAAGCCGATAGAAATCCTCGTCAAAACGAATCTACCTTGCTAAGCTACCTTGTGTTTGGGCCCATATGATTTGGGCTCAGCAGCGGCTGAGGAGTTCTTCTCATGTGTCTGTTATTTCCATCGACAAATCAGCGTTAGGTTACCATTTGACAAATTTTAATAAAATCTGTTAGCGGAAAGTGAAATTAAATAAATCAGATTCTTCGCCTAATTTACCACCTTTGCAATACAAAAGATACTCTATAATATAATTTGAATATTTATAATAATACTAATAAGGCCATAGATAAGGAAACTATTTTTCCGGATTAAAATCGCGTATATTTGTTTTTTCAAACAAACCGATGTTTCGGGCCCTTTACAGGTCCCATGGTCACGGTTGATGGTACAGTCTTCAACCAGTTATGTCTAATATTAATTAGAATTGAAAAAAAAGGAAAAAATTCCAATTTACGCTACATTAAGTTTTACAAATTATTTTATTGAATGAATTTTTATTAAGTTTAATTTATTATTAATTATTAATAGAAATTAGAATAAACTAAAACATATTAATTAGTACTGCAGTCTTATGTCTGTTTGGGATTTTTCATTAGAGGAAATACTGGATCCCAAACTAATAAGGCCATTTATTATCTCTCAAAGAGAACAAATTTCGAATTAAATATACAAACTCATAGCTCATTGTGATATCGGCTAACGTGTTTGGACACAGTTGTTAAATGAAAATAATTTCTATGCATGAACAAAACAATATCTCCAATAAAACACTAATCCAACTTAATTTTTTGTTCATTTTCTGTTTTTAATGTAAACTGCCTTATTTTATTTACTAATAGTATGCTCTCCGAATTTTGTAGGAAAAAAAACAAAAAACAAAATTCGAAAAAGAACAAAAAAACGAATTTTATGAGAAAAAGGAAACAAAGTAAAATCAGAACAATTAATAAAATTTGGTTCATGTAGTAGCCACGAGGCAGCCAGGAGGTATCAATCTGTCTGAGCCTTGGCAAACATCCTCGATGAACTACACCTCCCCGGCAGCCAAGACAAGTCTGTCTGGGCTCGTGTACAGCACTTGACAATATGCTTTAAATAGCATAACTTTTAAGTGTTTAAATTAGTGTTGCAATGAATAGTCTTTCGCCTTCAGGCCGAATAGCCGAATATTCGGCCAAACTATTCGGCCTGATTTATGATCTTACAAAACTTGCTTAATACGTTGTCAATTTGTTAGTTTCCTTAACTACCTAGAATAACTTATTACTAAATATGTAACTACAAAATGTATGGTAAAAAGTTTTTGCGATTTCTGACATTTCGAGTACTCTTACCTCAGTTGGTCCCATAGAGACTATTGATCCTTAACAGAGACCGGATCGAATGGCATTAAAAAAAAAGTTTTGTATAAATTGCCTGTGAATGCCAATCAATATATCTTCAAAATTGATGGATAGTCTTCTAGAACCGTTTTCCTGTAACTAAAACGATTAAGGTGGCTAGCTTTGCTGCCCCGTCTCAAATTTAGACCATGTATATACTAATACGGTTCATTTTGCGGTTCATTTTGAATATCGTATAGTATACGCGTTCTATTTAGTAAAATTTATATTAAAAAAAATCATTGGTGTATGTAAAGTACCTATTGAACAAGCAGGTTTTCTTGTAAAATTTCGAGGCGAGTTTTGTGTTTTTTTTTCTATCGTGAAAATTTTTAGAAATTCTGTTTCCACACCTTATAGTAATCAGAGTATATCCTCAATTTTACTGATTGAAAACTCACTGTTATGCAGAATTAACCAAAGCCGTTTGAGGTAGTACAGACTCTCAAACATTCTATACTATGTATTACATATTTATATTATTGATTGATCTTCCTATTATCTAAATATTTAAAGTTATTACTGGCACCATTGACTTACAATTATATGGACGTCGGGTCCGCGCTAAAAAGTGTCCAAACTTATAGGGCGTTAAAATCGTATACGGAGCGTCATTCACGCTTTAGTCTTCGTTTGTTCGACTGACAGCGAAGCAAGCAAAATTAGACAGTACTGCGATGACATTACAATTTAAATTCAACGTTTTAGCTTTTTCATATTCCTTTACATGTCACTACGTTTAAATAGGTTGACTTGGGACATTTTTTTCGTGGATGTTGTGTCGCGTCATCCATTTATTTGTAAGTCAATAACTGGCACTGTAACATGGACAGGCAACGACGAAACATAACAACGAAAAAGAATTATATTGGAAATATGAAGGCCACCGAGAAGGCCACCGTTCTAATGCAACATGTATTAATATTCCAGTACGACGAGATGATTCCTCCAGAGTGTGATACGTTCTACGGAGGCTTCTACATCAACAGCGGCTCGCTGGAGTTCAAGAACGTGGAGAACGCTTCCATGATGTCTGACGACGATCGGGGTCCTGGTAGACGGAATAAGGTACTATATTTTTGTCAATTTGCTGATAATTATAACACCGAAGTACTGTAACTGGGGCGTAGCTTGGGTTGCGTAGCGAGAGGTACTTTTATGAATATAAACTGGAATAATGTTCAATAGTTACTTTATTGCACTTTTTTACATGCTTATAGCGTTGGGCTATATTTCGATCTCTCAAGATGCTCTATTCTTTTCCTACATCATTTTTCAACACACATTCTAATTACAAAACTATTCATTCAGCCAGTGATTCTACTCATAGAGTAGAGCCTAGACTACATCCCTCTTTTCATTCAGCCAGTGATTCTACTCATAGAGTAGAGCCTAGACTACAGTACACATTACCTCTACCAGCCTGTATTATTATGTCGGTTTTGAGTTTTGTTTGAGTTTGTTTTGTTTGGTTTGAGTTTTGAGCACCTTTTCAACTAACGGCGGCAGTGTAAAGGAATTTAGTAGCAGTAGAGCTACTGTATGTCTAAAATAACGAAATCCTATTGGTTGTTTAAGGCCTTTTTCTTTATTTTGATAACTTAGCTTCTCGAGACAGGTTATGAACATACCGACCGTCCCACCGATTAAACGTTTATGTCTTGTAAAAAGTTCATTCAGGAAAGTGCTGCCTGCACTTTACCTATTTCTGCCGCCAAGCAGTAATGTGAGCATTACTACGTTCCGGTCTTGAAGGGTAAGACTGCTAACACATTGACTGCATGTATGCAGTTAATGGGTGACGTCGTAGTTAACTTTTACGTAATCAACGTTGATACCGACTTCACGCATTAACTGCATGCACTTGATCTCTACAATTATATGGACGTCGGGTCCGCGCTAAAAAGTGTCAGAACTTATAGGGCGTTAAAATCGTATACAGAGCGTCATTCACGCTTTAGTCTTCGTTTGTTCGACTGACAGCGAAGCAAGCAAAATTATACAGTACTGCGACGACATTACAATTTAAATTCAATGTTTTAGCTTTTTCATATTCCTTTACATGTCACTACGTTTAAATAGGTTGACTTGGGACATTTTTTTCGCGGTTTTTGTATTAGACCCGTCGTCCTTTTATTTGTAAGTCAATGACTTGATCTCTTGAATTCATGCAGCAAAAACAGTATTCACGCAGCCGAGATCTTTTTTTTTTAAATAATATCAATTGACGGGACAAACAAGTCGTGCGCCTGATGGTAACCTACACGCCTGTCCATAACAGTTGCAATGCCACTCAGAGCTTTAACTTGCAACGATCTGAGGGTGCCACTGCGCCCGTCACCCTGAGACATAAATTGACAAGTCTCAAGTCTCATAATTTCACCAGCACCCTTACCCTTCAAAACCGGAACCCAGTAATAATGACATTACTGCTTGTTGGCAGAAATAAGTAAGGTGGCAGTACTTCCCTGGACGTACTCTTTCACTTTCTTTTCTACTGCTAGTAAATGCTACTAGATCGACTGCAACTCGGCTGCGTCCCTATCTGCCGAACCGAGAGATAGGGTTTTCCGAAGAGACTACGGGCTCGACGGCAAGACCAGGGAAAAGCGGGTGTCCCCTCCGCCAGTGATACGCCTTTGCAGGCGTCTCTGGCGGACCCGGACTTGAGTATGGACTCTCTGGGGTTTGTGGTTAGCTGCAGAGACGGCCATCTTTGTCTTCCCCGGTTGTGGCCGGGGCGTCTCTCTCGTGAGCAGTTAGCGCGTCTTAGTAGCGGTCTAGTTGAGGGCCTGAAGCGAGGAGACGCGCGAGGCACGTGAGTGGCCCTTTAAGTTGGAAACTGTCCGGACATTGGCCCAGGACACTGCGACTGACATCTCCGGCACTAGCTCGGAGAGCTAGTAGGGGATAAGCTAGATATTCTCCGGTCCGTCCAGCCGCTTAGGTTATTGGGAACTGGAGAGCCGTCGTTTTTCGGCGTCGGGACGTGAGCGTACCTTACAGCTTCGCCACCAATGAGGAAATTTGGTAGTGGACTCCAGAGTCACGGCTTAAAGGTGGCAACCGCTATTTGTGCAATACGCAACGGGTAGTGAGCGTGCCTACATCCCTGGTACCTATCTGGAAAATAGGGAGGGTACTGTACGTGCACCCGGGGCGGCTCACCCGAGGCACTAGCCTCTCGAAGAACCGGATGAAGTCAAGTGACAGAGATCTGTGACAACCCTGTACACTGGCTGATCTGGGGTCAGAACCTGAACTTATAAGGTTCCTGTTGCGCGCACCGGTTGTAGTGCCCTTCTCGTATGACTTAAAGGTAGGTAGGGAGGGTCACTATAATCAAAACTAACGTAGAAAGATATGGGAGCTTGCAACTCGGCTGCATGAAGTTGATTAAGACTTCACTTCATTAATTGCAAACATGCAGTCCATCTGTTGGCAACCTTAGGTGTTGGTGAAACTACAGGCACTTGGAACTTGTCAACGTTATGTCTCAGGATGACGGGCGCAGAGACAGTACCTGATCTCTGCGATTTTGAGCCGCACGACTTGTCCGACCCGGCAACTTGGCAATCTGAGGGTCGTATTCTAGAACTCTACTCAATGCTCAAGTCAGGATTGCACTGGAAACACATGCATTGGAAATACGACCCTAATGGCAGGGACTTGAGTATGATTTTGAGTGCTTTAAACCATACTCAAATCCTGACTTGGGCATTGAGTAGAGTTCTAGAATACGACTCTGAAAGAGTCAAACCTATCTAAAATCTTTTGTATAAAAAATTGTATTTAACAATAGTTTTAAACCTCGCTAATTCTTTTTTAATTTGGGACTTGTCAACTTATGTCCCGGGGTGACGAGGGTGGTGATAGTGCCCCTCAGATCTTTGCGATTTAAAACTGTTGAATGAATGAGTGGCAATGCAACTGTTATGGACAGGCGTGTAGCTTAACATCAGGCTCACGGCATCACGACTTGTTCGTCCCGTCACCCGATATTATAAAAGTAAACTGCGGTTCTGTTGACAGAGGCGTATCTCATCAAGCAGCAGTGAAGAGGAGTCGTCAGACAGCTCGTCCGAGTCAGAGAGCCAGGACGAGAAGGACCCAACGGCCATTGCCAACGGAACGGTTGATTCGCACAAGACTGAACACAGGAAGAAGGTAATTTTAAATAATTGTTTTTAGGTTATTACTACATACATACTAAAGATCGTAGCACTGGAAAAGGTCAAAATTCCGTCTTATATCTGTCTACATGGTACAGATCACTAGCCGTAGAGGAATGGAATGAAATAAAATAACGAAACGGAAGTAGTTTAAATTATGTAAATGGCTGTGGATATTAATTAATTCATCTTTAAGATGAAATATAAGAAGTCAGTTTTTTCCCTTACTGTAATAATTATTTTCTGAACTTACAAAGATGCATGTCAATAAGCGGCATTTAATGATAATAACGTACACACTCAACATAACCCCGCACTTGGGAATCCCTGTGCCGCGGGTGCCATGGACACACACATAGACAACCACAAATGACACCCAAACTCATGAGAGAAATAAATGTAGACCATACAAATATTTTACCAGGCCCGGGAATCGAACCTGGGATCTCTGCGTGGCAGTCCGGCATGGTAACCGTTCGGCCATGGAGACAGTTGTGTGTTACAAAGTAATTTATAAATTAACCCTTCCTAATATGGGGTAGATGGCGCTAATCCTAAACAAAATAAACGAATAGTCGGCTGTAGCCATAAAAATCTGTGCTATAAGCGCCATCTAGTTATTTATTTATCATCACTAAAAATTGAGTAGCTTTGATAGAGCAACTTGTTATTGTAAAACCATTAACTTATGTAAAACAAATTATAGTACCGGCACGCTGTGCTGGCTGTTTTGACATTTGTGCGCTCATGAAGTTTCGTATTAATTCATAACTACGTTTAAGGAGCTCATTGATGAACAATGTTGTCAATAGTGACGTGCAGTAAAATTTATAGATGTATAATTTTACGACTCAACTCGTATTTGTTTTTCAAACCTCTAGCAAAATTGACTATATGTGAAGTAAACATTTTATTTTCGTTATGTTAAAACTTTTAAATCGGCTACCCCTTGCAATATAGCTATAAATCTAAAAACTTATAAATGCGACTCGCATTTGATTATATTTTTTTCGATAGTGAATTGAGATTTGACTTCACTATTCTAATCTGTCAAAACGGCCATCATTGGGTGCCGGTACTGTAGTTACAAAAATAGCTATTTGATAATCGTGACGACATCTGGTAAACCAATACGTACTAAATACCCTACCACGCTGTCTTCTAGCGCTTTTAGTCTTCTTGAGTTATTTGTGCATTGTTATACTAAAAAATCGCTTAGTGCCATACGACTTTTTAGTAGCAGTAGAGCTCCTTGTGAGAGTTCGTCCAGGGAAGTACTGCCATCTTACATGTTTCTGCCGCCAAGCAGTAATGTCAGCATTACTGTGTTCCGGTGAAATTACAGGCACATGAGACTTGTCAACTTATGTCTCAGAGTGACGGGTGCAGGGGCAGTGCTTCTGATATTTTTGCGATATAAAGTTCTGAGTGGCAATGTAATCGTTATGGACAGACATGTAGCTTTGTCCGTCCCGTCACTTGATATTATATAAAAATAAAGAGTTCAATACATTAATAAGGTTTAGGATGTTGATGAGGCTGCCCCGCTTTTGCAGTGCGTCTACCATATTTGCAGAGGTGCGGGTTGATGGTTTCAATCATTGACTTACAATTATATGGACGCCGGGTCCGCGCTAAAAAGTGTCCGAACTTATAGGGCGTTAAAATCGTATACAGAGCGTCATTCACGCTTTAGTCTTCGTTTGTTCGACTGACAGCGAAGCAAGCAAAATTAGACAGTACTGCGATGACATTACAATTTAAATTCAACGTTTTAGCTTTTTCATATTCCTTTACATGTCACTACGTTTAAATAGGTTGACTTGGGACATTTTTTTTGTCCCGTCGTCCATTTATTTGTAAGTCAATGGTTTCAATGCTATTTATACGCAAAAAAATAGCCTGGTTGCTCAGCAGACGAAGGAGCAACATCATTTTACTGGTCATACCTGATGAAACTACCCAGTATGAAATCTTTCATTCGGGGTCCTGTTCGAATAGTCTCACAAGAATCTATTGTATCGGGATGCGAGTGAGAGATTATGTAACTTTTTGTACTATTTATCATTATTACCACTAACTCAGTGTTTTAGTTATTTTTGTAAGTTTGCTAACACCATTGGACTTTGAAAAAATTTATTTGTCTCAATAAATATAGTATTTTTTTTATGCAAGGCTGCAAAGTTGTTGTTTGACGCGAGTCAGAAACCTGAGCAACCGAAGGGCGCTAAGATTGAACCACTCGCAGAATCCTGAGCATAGCGAGGGTTTCAAGACACGAGACTCAAAACAACTTTGCTGCCGAGCGGAACATACAACTTTTCACCTCACTACGGCGAGGAAAATGGTAGATGAAAGAAAAACAGTTGAACTATAACAAATTAGTTATCGTTGCCAATCTAATGTCAACACTAATAAGAATAAAATATACCAACGGATTTATATTACATAAATAATGTACGACAAAGCGCATAGTTGAACATGTCATGTTTTCTTTTTCATCGAAAGATGAAAATTTGCACCACAGTCCATCGTCAAGTTTGAATTTCAAAAACTCTTTTGCACGCAGATTTCTAATGTGAAAGAAAGCCTTTCCGAGCTACTGAGGTAAAAATTATAGCTATATATAATTAAGGCTGTGGTCTTTTCCTTCACCAATGCGAAAAGAGTGTATTTGTATGTATATGTGCAGTATGAATGAAATGTCTTACAGTATGAACGGAATATCTGCGGATGTGAAAATGACGAATTCCCACTATTTGTGTCACGACCTAGCCTTTTTCTTTATTTTGGTTACTAAGATTTTCGTTTCATGAAATAAGCCGCAAAATATAAATTTAAATTTGCATTTGCTTTTGGCATATTGTGTTTAACGATGTTAAAAAATGATTTAATTTTCAGAAAAACAAAAAGATCGACAAGAAGGCGAAGAAAATACGTAGAACTGATTCTTCTGCTGCTACGTCTGGTAAACAAACTTCCGATGGTAAGTCCCTCACTTGTTCGTTACATCCAAACCTGTAACCAGCCGGTCCACCTGATCATTTTTTGAGTTACCAAAGAAATATTGACAACCTCTGTACAAAATTTCATGAAACGCATTGTTGCCAAACCTCATATAAACAAGTATTTTTTTGTCACTTGCCACAATTATTAAATTATTACATGCAAAAATTAAATACTACTAAAGTTAATTGGTTACTTGTAAATTATCCGGGTGCTTTAAATACTGCCCACATATGGTAATACCATTTAATTGGCAACACTACGCTGTACTACTACTATGGTATTTTATACTTCAATCATTTATATACATAATTGTGTTTGAATGTCATGGATTTCAATTTAAGAACCCCAAAATTAATTCAGAGTAAAATTAATTATTCGAATTTTTTTATGCAAATCCGTTTGTATCAAGTTTATCACGTCTGTTAAGTGTAGAGGTCCGGTTACTAAATATTTTTGTGATTTAGAATAAAAACAAATTAATTGAACAATTAACGCAGTTTATTGTAGTACAGGCAAGAGACGAAAGTTACAGAGACAATTTCGACAGCAGTGAGGTCTTATTTATACAATCATTTAGATTTACGTACATTACAAACTATAAAAATATAAAAAATAAGCATTTTCTGATTATGTGCTTAAGTCTAAAGCCGACCCTAGATATTTCGTCTAGAAGACTTGAATCTAAGGTCATGAAATATATAATAATAAAACAGAGGCTACACATGCTCTATGGCTTACGTGTAGCGCTATTTTTATGCTGCTCGAGTCGTAAGAATCTGCAGCGACAGAATAAAATCAACCTAATACTAATTTAGACCTAAAATAGAGAATAGAATCTTTAGACCTCTCCTCATCATCATTCATCTAAGGTGCAACTTGTATCAAAGAATAAACTTTGCTGTCCGAAGGGAAATCGTTGCCGAATCGTGATCACGGTGTTTGAGGGCTCGGTACTCGATTATATTTTGTATTTTAAAGTATACAGAGTGG